AGGAAAAATGTACTGGGTCAATTATCTTCATTCCAACTTATATGTATACCTACATTATTAGCAAATAAATGATTTCTTTCTTTCTTCCAAAAAAATATTACAAACTTAATGATTATGTAGCATACCTACAGAATAGAAATGCTCGGTTGCAGGCTGGTCCAGCTCCACAGGATAAATAAATTAATGTTTTGATGAAATCCAAACATGTAAATAATTCAGCCATGTTGATAAATTGTATATTGTTTAACCTTTTGGTATGTTAGAGCGTAGATCTACGCCAGACACAATGCGTTGTCTATCGTGTATTATGTTAGATTATTAATTAAATACATAAAACGTTGATTTTATTTCCGGCTTTTAATTCTGTTAATAAATAAAGAATTTATGCATCGATATTAAGTGTTCCCAACACTGTTCCAACTTATACCTTAAGTGACATGGCGCTGGAGGTAAGTCAAAGTTATCAAATCTTGGCGGTTAAAGTAAAGGGTTAAATACCGACAGACAAGAGGTTAACTTACTAAATCGTTGTAAATGTGAGAGCCCAGGTAATTAACTAAATTAAATTAGACTAGTAGAATGCATTTGTGTCAGCTTCGAGTTGTCATGCTCATTCAAAGATCTCAATGAATGATCAATATGGTTGAGTTGGGCGGTGCTGGTGTACGTGTCATGTTCGCGTGTACGGGCGCCGTCAACTGGGACTGGTCAGCTCCAGACTGTATTTATTGTCCTTAAAGGTTTTTTTCTGTTTCAATTTCTTTGACTGGATTTTGGTGTTACATTGTTCTTGCACAATCGAACCAATAAAACTATGTAACTAGAGAATTGTATTGGATTGAAAAGAATAACCTATAGTTTTTTGTTCGTTCTTCTCCATAGGAATCTACACCTTGGAATGAGCAACTAGCTTCACTTCAAAATTTTTGTTGTTGTCGTTCGAGAGTGCCTTCCTGGTCTAATTGAAATAATTGATTTTGACTTTGATCAGTTTTTGAAATATTGTAAGATTTGTAAATGGACAGTTTAAAGCAAAATTATTAGGATTGGTAAAATTACGTTTTGAGATAGTATAAATGGGGTCCACTTTAGCCAAGGTCATGGGGCTTTATTCATAAACCAGCAAATGTGTCTTTACAGGGGAGTGAGCACCTTGGGGATCCGAAGATAACGTTATTTTTTGCTCTAGTTACTTAAGATATAGCAAGACTTCATATAAATCACGACTAGGATAAGACCAGTCCTACACTTTCCTATCATTGAGAATTATTATCATTATTCAGGATATCTTTAAGATTTTGGAAATAGGCACATTCAGTCCCAGGTCATTATGGATTTCTTCAGAGCAATTCCAGCTCAAAAACGTTTGTAGCTTTGGTTCCAGTCTGTTGCTGTCAAGTGTTTATTTATTTTATTTATTTTAAAAGACTTCATGCACAAACTTATGTACAAGGTGGGCTTAATGCCTAGGGCATTCTCCTCCAGCCAGACCTTTGGGTGATGCAGAGACAAAAACAATGGTCGATGCAAGAAGCAAGCGTATTTAAAACTTAAATAAATAGAAAAACGGATAGTATAGACTTACATAAAATAAATCCCTATATAAACTTACATGTATATTATGTCATAACAATAAACTTACACAATTGTATTACATATACTACTTAGACGTAACATAATTATACATAGTATATTGATAGTTACGATTCTGCCAACCTCCTCAAAAGTAGCTCCCGCACTTTCCGCTTGAATGACAAACGACTGGGCACCATCCTGATATCGGGAGGGAGCGCATTCCACAGAAGAATAGACTGAACAAAAAAGGAGGAATGAAGAAATTTAGTACGATGTGTTGGACATTGGAGGAGGCGATTATTAGAAGAGCGAAGATATTTGCTGTGGTTTGCGCATGTATATTGGAAGTGTAAGGACAGATAATGAGGCGAATGAGGCGAGTCAAGAACAGAGAAAAGAGTGGTTAGCGCCCTTAGTTCCCTGCGCTGTCGTATGGGCAACCACTTTAATTGCAATCGGTATGCAGAAACATGATCATATTTACGCAGGTTGAAAACGAATCGAATGCAGTTATTCAGAAGTCGGTCAAGTTTATTGAGGAGATCTGCATTCAGGTCATAATAACACACATCAGCATAATCTATAATAGGGAACAACAGGGCCTGTACCAGCATTGCCTTGGTGTCGGACGGAAGCAAGTTTTTAACGCGATAAAGAGCCCGCAGCGATCCAGTCACCTTTTTGCTTACACTAATGACTTGTGCATGCCAGTTAAGATTGCTGTCAATATGTAAACCGAGGTCCTTGACGTCACTAGTAAACGGAACGATCGCACCGTCGTAAAGGACAGCGGGTAGAGATGCAACGTCAACCTTACTCAGAGAACGAGAACTTCCTATCACAATCGCCTGACACTTCTTGGGGTTTACCGCAATGCCGAACCTTACCGACCAATTATTAATAGCGGATAAGTCGTTGTTAATTTTTGAGATGGCATCCGGCAATCTGTCATAGCTGGTCTGACAGTAAAGCTGCAAGTCATCCGCATATAGATGGTACGCACACCGAAGCTCGGAAGTGATGAGATTAATAAAGATGGAAAATAAGAGAGGTGACAGTATACCGCCTTGAGGAACGCCAGCCTTTAATTCGCGCCAGTACGCTCCTCAGCTCGGGAACTTGGCGTACAGGGCGTACTGCAGCTCGTACCCTGAGAACCGACAGTGCTGGGACTCCAGCGGACAGTACGCGCCCAGCGCTGGGAACTTCTTCAGCTCGCGGGCGGCGGATGCACCTGGAGAGTCCTGCAAACACACGGTTCATTAAAGAACAATTCCTAATGCAACTGTATCGAGTCCTGATAATGTATCAGTGCATACGTACCGGGGTAGCAAAGACGGTGAGCACGAACTTGGCCGGGCGGAAGGCCTGCAGCACGCGCGCGATGACCTCGTCGTACGAGGAGACTGGCACGTTGGACTCGAACGACACGTACGAGCACGACCGCTCCGGAGTTATGTGGATGGTCATGTAGCAGCCCTGCACACAAACGATACATTCACATTAGTTTGGTTATATGCGTATTACCAATTAGAATGTTTCCTTCGCAAAAAATAATAATTTCGGAAATCTCTGTAATGTAAATGTAAAAAGAGTCCCAAATACTTACTTGGGACTCTAAAATCAGAATATGTTAAAACAATAGACTTCTATTGTTTTAACATATTCTGATTTTTGGCGATATTGAGATGGTCAGTTTCAATACTTGATGTGACTTTTTCAAATACTATTTTGTGAATATTCCACAATAATTTGTTTAAATATCTTTATCACTTTAATAACGCCGTAAAAGCTAAACGTGGAAAAACACATAATAAACTAACATAGTTAAATATATAAAATAATTGCCAGATGTTATATCCCTACATAGACAAGATTTAGCATAAATATTCTATTTTTATAACTTTACAACTACAGTTAATTGTTTATAACTGGTATATTTACGTCATGAATATAACAGCACGGATGTAATTACAGTATTAATTTACTAAGACAACTTACTGATGGTAAATCCTTAGCTCCCTTTTAGCAGCGTGAATATTTAAAATTGATTATTATTTTATTCTACAACACAATAATTACGCCTTGACATTAGCATATTATTGGTCACTAGACTTTAAAGCTACACTAGCGCCAGGTATATATTTTATGTTCTTTAGCTTACTCCCTTAACTGTTTGACGAGGAACTAGACTAGTTTTGATAGTAGAAGCATGACTGTCGCCGTGTCGCGGATTGCGGAATGCAGCTCACGAGTATGAGCCTCTAGCATGGCTTGAAACTAGTCGAGTTGGTCAAACAGTTACGTAAGTAAACCGTAAAACATAAAAATTAATTTACATTTCTGACGAAAGATGTTATATGTTTTATATTTAAGTAATAGAATAACGACTTACATCTTTAGCAACTCCATTCATGGAGTATCCGCACGGATCGAAGAGGAAGTCATCAATCACCATCCCTGGTATAATCTTGTCAATGCCAGACTCCTGTAAACCATAATATTTTACACATAACATGTTTTATTCATTCATAGTGGTCACAGGGAGCCAGTAAATGCAGGTTGCTGCCAACCTGCCGATGGTAAAAAACATACGGCCCACCTGATGGTAAGCTCGGATTTGATTCTTGGAGAGAGCAAAGTATTAGTGAGTTTTTTTTAAATCTCAATAGTAGCATGGAGTCTGGAATTGTGGCCGATATATGGCAATAGGCTCATCCCCTATTACATGGGACTCATAACATAATTAGTGAAAAGTGGGTATTAAATTGTTCAGTTTAAAGGCGTAATGTGCACCTCTGCCTACCCTTTCGGGGATAAAAGGCGTGATGTTACGTTATTACACAAAAATAAAAGTACTTTTATAAAAAGGAACCAAATTTCTTTTGCTTCACATAGACTTCATAATATTCCGAGTCGTATAATTAAAATTTACCCGTGTAGCCGCGGCGGCGTCAGCAGAGTACTGTCGTGTGAAGATGTCCATGACAGCAGGATCCAAGTCTGACATGAGGATCTCGATGGTCTGGTCCGGCTCCATCAGACCACCCTCGCTCGCGTCGCTGTGTTCCTTCTCCAGGGCATCCACTGTACCTGTTCATTAAGAGAGTTTTGGTTATAGATTACAATAAAATAAAAAAAAAATATTAAATACTAAGTCGATTATTGATCTATTGTCTATATTCTTCCATTACCAACACGCAATATAGGCACTTAGTATTTATACTATAGCTACGGGATAGTACTGAAAACTCAGCACCGCGACTGGAGCCATTGCGCTGGGGTCATAGCATATAAGCTGAGCTCCTTTTGCGCCGTCTTCACTGTTTTTTCATGTACTTTTGTGCAAACGGTGCAAATAAACTATTTTTCTTTCATTCTTCTATTTTCGCTCAAAGATTTTAATATACGATATGGTTAATTATATAGTTACCTTCGAGCGGTAACAGTGTGTACAGGTACCAGCAATCTTTCTCCGGGCCCATGATGTAGGCGCGCCCGTCTCCGAAGAAAGAGTCCAGAAGTTTCACCTGGAACAATACAAATAAATTATTACATAGGTTAGAATCTTACATAGGTTAGAATTAATCTTAACAAACGCTTTGTGTCACGAAGGCCCGCTTTTAGACTCCAAAAGAAAAAAGGGCTGTTGTTGTTGATAGGACTTTGTTCATATCTACATTAGGTTTAGCCTCACGGCCTCACGCTGCGCCATTTCTAAAGCAATACAAGTCCACGTCTTGTTGACATCTATAATATAACTATCGTCTGCCCTTGCGACTTCGTACGCGCAATCCCGTTTCTCTCATTCCTGTAGGATTTTCAGGACTTTTTTTTGTCATAAAAATCTTCTCCTGACAATAACAAACACAACAAAAAAATATCAGTCAAATCGGTCCAGCCGTTCTCAGGTTACGGCGTGACAACGGGAAACGGGTTTCATTTATATATATAATAATATATACTAGCTTTTACCCGCGGATTCGCTCGCGTCACAAAAGGATAAAAAGTAGCCTATGTGACATATACCAATACACACAGCGCCATCTATACCAATACTTTTGTTTTCCCTCGGGAATATCAATTTTTTCCGGGATAAAAAGTACCCTATTATTTAATCTGGACTTCTAACTTTACGTCTGCAAAAAATCAAAGCAATCGGTTTAGTAGTTACGGCGTGAAAGCCTCACTTTCCGATTTATAATATTAGTAAGGATAGATAGATATGTATGACTATACTATGTCTTACAAGATGAGAAATGAATCCCAAAACTGCCAAACCAAGTACAAATTACAATGTATAATGGACATAGAAAACGGAGCCGGTACACAGCAACGCGAGACGGATGTGAGATGGTAACACGAGCGTATGTACCAACTGCCATCGTTTCCTGCTAACGTAACAAACGTAGATACAATGTCTCACAATAACATTCTGGATACAGAAGATTTTCCACTGTATGCGCAGTTTGAGAAAGACTTGCTAAGATTGACATAATTGACCAAACAATCTTTGAGCACAATTTTTTTTTATGGAATAGCAGGCAAACGAGCAGACGGATCACCTTATGGTAAGCCATCAGCGCCTCCCATGGACACCCGCAACACTAGAGGAGTCACAGGTACGTTGCCGGCCTTTTAAAAATGAATACGCTCTTTTCTTGAAGGTTTCGGATTTCGTATTCATTTTTGATGATTAACTGACACTGAATTGTTCTGCTTCTTACTTTAATTAAAGTGAATGGACAATTTTATATCCAATCCAATTTCAATAAAAGTTTCTCCATCCAAGAAGAGGTCTTTGGTCACCAATGAGTAATAATAGACTGATGATGTGATGATGTGAATCAATCAATGGTCGTTTCTTAAAGAACTACGCAGACATAGTTACAGTCTTCGAAGAAACTTATGATACTCTGTCATAGAAACTATCATAACAGTTGCAGCGCGACAGTAGCTGCTTCGCGGGTCGCAGAATGCTGCCCATGAATGCTGCCTCTAGCATGGCTTGAAACTAGTCGAGATCTTCGTCAAACAGTTACGTGAGTATGCCGAAAACATAATAATTAATTTAGACTGCTGCACGGTTGGTGCGGTGGCTGGGCAACCGGATGCCGAGCAACGTGTCGCGGGTTCGATTCCCGCACGGAACAACACTTTGTGTGATCCACAAATTGTGGTTTCGGGTCTGGATGTGATGTGTATGTGAACTTGTGTGTTTGTAAACGCACCCACGACACAGGAGAAAATCCTAGTGTGGGGCAACGTTAAAAAAAAAATGTCTCACTCCGTTTAGATTTTGTGTGTCAATGAAATAGGTACCAATTTTAGTTACTAGAACCAGAGTAGCTTATAGTATACATTCATTGCATGCAAACAAAACAACAAAACCTTTAAAATTATAATTTTTACAAACTATATACGTGTCAAAGATACTTCTAAGATACCTAATCAAGGGTCTATAGATCAAACCACCTTCCTTCTAGAAGTAAGACGTAACATCAACGTCATAAGATTAGATTTCGGTTGGCCTTTCCTCATAGTTCAAGTCACAATCATTGACTAGGCACGGAATAAGTTACCCTTATCTTAGCATTTGTAATCGTGTTGAGGTCAAAGTACGTGTGTAATTATTATTATTATTTTATAATCTTGTAATCAGGTGGAACATTCTGGAACGTTAGTAAACACTGGCAAATGGTGTGTTTTTATTTATTGTTTTTTTTTTCCTGGTTGAATTACTGAGTAGTGTGATTCATTGTAAGTTGAATTGTTGTATAATCAGCTTGTATTTTGCTAGAAAATATTACTTACAACATCAAGTATTATTATATTTTAAGTCATTGAAGTTGTCAATAAACTCCCCCTCTATTATCTTTCCTTGTAGGCAGAATATGTTACTTTACAGTTACGATCTTTATAAACGAACTAAGTAGTCTGCGGCTTTCCCCGCGTATTCCTGTTTTATCACATGGGAGCATTATATCTTATCACCTAAGTCAGCCCATACCCTGCCTGTATACCAAATGTCATCAAAATCCGTTCAGTAGTTACAGCGTGATTGACGGACAAACATCCAAAGAAAAAAACTTTCACTTTTATATTATTGAGTGATTTACTTACATGGCTTAACTTTGGTTGAACTAATTGAAAATTTACCAAATTCCTGTTAAGTATACACTAATAGTTGAGCTTTTAGAAAATAATATACCTAGTCATGTTTTATGTCATCAATTTTCCCACTACGCACATTGTTTTTCCTTGCTTAACTGCGGACTGTGGTCCAAGTAAGTTTTAGTTTCAATCCCTAGGTATCAATTTGACACACACATAACATCACGCCTTTTTTCCTCGAAGGAGTAGGCAGAGGTGCATATTATGCCACTGTATAATGTAATACCCTCTTTTCACTATTTATGTTATGAGTCCCATGTAATAGGGGGTGAGCCTATTGTCATATACCGGGCACAATTCCAGGCTCCATGCTACGACTGAGAAATTAAAAAACCCAGTAATACTTTGCCCGACCCGGGAATCGAACCCGAGACCCCTTGCCCGGCAATTGCAATTGCGACCACTCGGCCAACGAGGCAGTATCAAATTGAACCGCTAGAATAACAAGTTAGAATAAAAAGGTTTTTACTCGAGAAAAGAGACATGTAAACATATTGAATGACACTATTGTTGCCAGTTATACGCTTTCGGAATCCCATGTAATCTTATCACAGAGTTTAACAAACGGGGAATTTGCGCATGCAAGTCAAATACTTTCATCGATAAAATGTAATGTTCAAAGGGATGTTTGATAATTAAATTATTATTAATTGCTAGTGCTAAGTGATAAGAGAAATGATTCAATATAAGTTCAGATTAATTATCTGTAACCTTAATTGGGATGATGACAGAGTATGAAAATTAAAAATATAATTAGTCCGTAAGTTAGGTAATGAAAAAATATTAGACGCGTATTTTTTATGTTGTCGTACAATAAAACAATACTTGGATAAAACGAATTAAAGTTTAGGAGTGGGGACTAAAACGTAATTTCTACGAATAAAATGTACATAGAAGTGACGTCACGTGACAATTCAAATCGTCGTTTCTTTTTCTTACAGAGGCGAAATTATTCGTCTCTGTAAGAAAATAAATAATACGTGTCTAATGATTAAAATAATCTACCAGACGGACATTAAAATAAGAATTAGGCATCTACCCTATTATGAGATCACAGACACGGGTTGACGTTCATTTTATCAATACCAGGAATTTACGTTTCGTATTCTTTTGGTTGTTCATAATTATTGTGAAATTGCTGTCAAGTTATGAATCACTCGAATTTGTTATTAAAGAGTAACAAGAAACTATTGTTGCCTTAGTTTTATTAAATAAGTACCTCAGAAATAAATAAGTCTATTAAGATTTAAGTTTTTATCAAGTTTTAGGTGTCACGGAGGAGAACATAGGTACTTGAGAGTACAGTATTTGTCTTGGAAAGTTTTCTATTGACAATGAAAGGCTTAATGAGTTTCGAAATAAGGAAGACTGGGTTTAGGGACGGACGAAACTATATGCAATTCATAACACTTACAAGTTACAGGGATTGGAATAGCCACGTAGGCATAGGCATATTTTACTCCTAATATTTCGCAGAATAACAGAACAACAAAAACCAATTCATAAGAAAAATCTAACCACTGAATTCTAAAACTAAAATATTTCATAACGTTCCTGCAACCACCTGATTAAGGTAGCCGATGAATGCAGGTCGCTTCCAACCTGTTTATAGGGAGGCCTATATTCAGCAATGGAGTCTTTCAGCTGTGATGATAAAACAACTACCAAAAAAAGTAAATAAAAAACCAAAGCATCAATCAAGTAACATAAACCCGACTTTTACTAGGTATCACAGAACTAACAGTGTGTACTGAGAAAGTGGTATTGTTGATTGAAACTACTGAGAAACATGCGAGGTTCAGTGTGTCGCTGTCATTCATTCGTATCGCCATATCTTAGGTGATGATAATATTAATTGATGTGTTTTGTTTCATAATTTGTAGCTTATGACTATGACTCATGACTCTGGCTGGGACGAAATTGCAATACTATAGAATAGACATTTGGATAAATGATGAGAATGATTATAAGAAACTGCCTCATTGACCGAGTGGTCGCAAGTGCGACTGTCGGGCAAGGGGTCTCGGGTTCGATCCCCGGGTCGGGCAAAGTATTACTGGGTTTGTAAAAACCTCAGTAGTAGCACGGAGTCTGGAAATGTGCCCGGTATATAATAGGCGGCAATAGGCTCACCCCCTATTACATGGGACTCATAACATAAGTAGTGAAAAGTGGGTGTTACATTGTACAGTGGCATTAAGTGCCGTAATGTTCACCTCTGCATACTCCTTCGGGGATAAAAGCCAAAAGGCGTGATGTTATGTTATGTTATGATTATAAGAAATTCATTGGTGAATTTAAAAAGCAATCCTAATCAGATTTTTTTATAAGTCTGTATTTATCTTTTTGTAGCTTCATGACTCACTACAAGTCTGGGTAGGAAGAAAATGTTTTATTGACGATTGTGTTGGGATTATAATTATTTCATCGGCCGAAATCAATAACTAATCGTAATCTAAATTGATTTTTTACATTGATTGTATGGTAATTCATTAAGTTTATAGAAGAATTAAGATGACGTATATATCAAGCTAGAAGAATGAGAGGTATTGACACCTAAAACTCCCATATGAGAAGATAAGACTTACGAAACGAAAAACCCTTTTACTCAACCGGAGATTTACCAATTCTATCCTCAAACCGACAGCCATTTCCTTATTCTTATATTAACACGTTAAACGCCATGGGGGTCACCGGTGACCGGCGTTAGCGGAGGATTTACCTTCAAACGTTTTTTATTGGCAGTCAAAGTCTTAACTCGTCGAGTACCGGTTTTGTAGACACAATTATAGAACAATAGGTTGCGGTCACCGGTGACCGCTTGGTGTTTGACAGTTTAAACGACCTTTCGACTAAACCAAGACTAAAGACCCTCTTAAAATCAGTACCACACTTAAAATAACCTAAAGGTCTTTAAAATTAACCAGCCTGAGAGATTTTGAGACCCAAACTATATGGTTGATTAACTTTAAAAGCGCAAAAGGTGAGTTTGTTTGTTGCTGAAAATGTGTAGGTACATATATAAAATAGGCATTGGAGCATGCTGCAAGTTTATTATGGGTTATATTGATCGATTGACCGCTTCAGTGAAGCGAGTGAAGCGACTCAACTCAAGTTGGATTAGTTTATTGACTTGTTACGTTAAGTGCTAGATAAGATGTTTAACGATCTTGTAGAAGACCATAATAATGTAGGAGCACATACTCCTAGAAGCTCCTAGTATCAGTTGTACTTATGTCTTGGGATAGAACATAAGTCAATGCCCAAAACGTTTATGTTTTGGAAATGAAAGGATGAAAAAACTAATGATTTATAATCTAAGGATTATAATCTAAAGACGAATATTTGAAGAAGTGGAAGCTGAATAAGTGTAAAGATCTTAACAGGTGGCGCTCTGTAATTTCTGCCTGTCTGTGTGTGGCAAAAAGGCTTGTATGTATGTGGCTTGTAGCAGTAATAAAATAACAACTTACCTCTGAATCAAAGTTATCATGAGGCTGCAGTTGAGCAGCTGGGCGTGCAAATTCCCTACGCGAGTAGAACACGTTGTGCACGCGCGCATGTCCGGCTACGTCGTATGCCAGCCCCAGCACTGCGTGCACGCAGCGTAGGGGCGTGGTCGTGCCACAGGTCTTCAGGATAAAACGGCGACGCGACACAAACATGCTGCTCTCGCTGGAGAAGATAGAAAAAGTAACATCAGTAAGGTATTGATAGTAAAAATAGGAGACAAACGGTTGCAAAGGTTATAAGACAATGTAATTATTTTTGGTAGTCCTAATAAATCCTGAATAGAAACTATCAAGGAAGTGTTCTGTGTTACGATACGCTTCGATCTTTTGAGTAACATTTAAACTCGAATTATACTACTTCAATATCAATTTGAGAATTGTTCAGTCTATATCCGACTGAAAGCAAATAAAAGGTTTTGCTCTTCAGAAAAGCCACAAACTACAATATGTACCTGTTTGTTTGTTGTATTTGTAGGAAAGTACTTGTTAATGGTCTCACCATGAAAAATAAAGTGGCATAGTCATTAACATCGTGGTATCTTCTGTTAATATGTTACAATACAACTGCGTTATCCTAATGTGCCTATATTTAGGAATTAGTACACAAGACTATTAACACAGAAATTAATCAGTGCAACTAGTTATAACCGGATTAGGGTCATCACAAAGAAAGGAAATAATAAAGTAAAAATAGTTATTTCTCTGTAAGTATGTCTCTTAAGTTTTAATGCCTAAACTGGAATCGAATCGAATCTAATTTCAAATAACATTACACAACATTGGACCCGCAGGCGGATACATGCACCTATGATTTTTTTTTGTATCTGTGCCTCTAGTGATCTGCCCCAAGCACGGTAGCATACACCCTCCTGATGAGGTCTGTGTTTAGCAGTGCAGATATGATGATGAAGTTAAACTAAAGCGGTTCTGCTACAATTTTCTATTATGCGCATTTCCATAACGAATACAAATTAAAATTTGTCTTCATTCCTCAAATGATTATGGTGATGACCCTAGCCTCTGGCCACCTTTTTAAGACAATGTAGATAGTAGCAAGCAGCTATTATTATATCAGTTCAAGAAATAAACGAATACGCATTAGTTTTAATATAATTGTTAATCAATTGGTTACATAGATAACTTAATCTTAAGTATGTTTTAATAGTTAGTGTAATTTGGGACATTTATTTATCTTGTTTTAGGGACTACATTAGAACAAGAAGAATCTTTATGGTTCTAATTGAATCAGTTAAAGCCCAATGCTTGTATTTTGTGTCAATTCGAATATATTGTACAAATCACAGAACAGAATAAAGCAGGTACACAAATTCTTCTAACACTATTTCAACGGAAAAGGTTGTATTTGTTCTTGCAATTATTTTCATTACGGCAGAACCTTCATACCAATAATTGTATCCCCTGTTTTAAAAAAATGGCAATAATCCATCAATTAAAATAAATTTAAGTAAATAAATTTAATTTTATAAATTAAAGTACCCTTAACCGACGAGCATGCATGAAAAGATTGATGACTGTTAATGAAGCGAAAGAGGTATGTAAGAATCGTAGTAATTGGCGTTCCTTAGTCTCTGCCTACCCCCATGGGAGACAGGCGTGAAGTTATGTATGTATGTATGTATGTATTAAACTCGTGACAACATCACAAAGTGTATGAGGATTGAGTCATTTCGATAGTTGACAATAAAAATAAACGCATTGACACTTATATGTCAACATTTGACTTCAGATTGTTGCTATCCAACATTTATTAATAGTAAAGTGTAACATATTTCATTATAACAATATTTCCTTATTAAAACAATGATAAGGTGGGAGATAAAATAGTTTTTATTTCCAAGAACTAATGTACTACAGACTGATACCGCGCTGAGGTCAACATTCATCATTGACCCGTCTTCGTGTGATTTTTACTATCTTTATCAGAGTATCTTTATGAAAAATGCTTTGTAATTAAACATTATTATATTACAATTAAGGTCGAGAATTATTTATAGTACTTCTTGCAGTTATTTAGGTGCAGTAAGAAACAACTGTTTATCATAAGTTATGCAAGCTTGCTAGCAAAATGACTAAAGAAAACAATTTTCTGATAATACTGTGAGCTTGCGTTGCTTGCGTATGATTGGACACGTATTTTATTATGTCTACATATCTAGTACACACATTTACACACTTATTCTACATGTACACAAAGTCGAGTCAGAAAACAGCTGGTAAAGTTCACAATATTATTGTACAGACGCCATTTGTCAATACTAGAGTAAGATGAGTTTAAAAGATGGTATAAATAAGACGGTTAATAGGAAAATTGCCTCCTAACATGGTACAAAGTGTGAGGATCAATTGAGTGCAGTGTGCATCCGTCATCTTACGGTCAAGCACATCGCACGAGCGCATGCGATGTAATCCAGTAATAGCTAATACAAAGTATGTACTACGCTGCAGATGGGTCAAAGTGCTTACTGCGAAAATAAGGCAGAAGGCGAGATATTTCCGAATTCTAAATATCAATTTCCTGGCTATTTCGTTGGTAGTAAGGCCTTTTTTACCCAAGGAGAAAAGAATAAATCCTCATGGAGCAGCCGCGCCTGGGGAGGTCGAGACTCGAGAGTAACGAATGGAGTTTCTTGCTCGTTCTTCTCCACTGGAATCTACTTTTTGGGACGAGCACCTAGCTTCACTGACAGACTATTATTTATTTTGTATTTTTGTTGACGCTTCAAAAGTATCAAATTATGGTTCAATTGATATAAATACTTTCGAGTTTGAGTTCGACAGGGACTGTCAGAAGGCAGTGAGGCCTAACAACATTTAGTTTGAATGTTTGTCGTTTCTATAGAGCACTGCTATCTTCCAAATTCTTGGTTATATCTATTCAACTTTACACATGGTATTATTGTCAATATTTTGCCTGGCAATACATCTAATAACATAACTTTAAGTACACAAACAATCGCTACATAGTTACGGCTATGAAGAAAAGTTAATAATGTTTACAACTTTGTGATACATTTTGCAGCTGCCTACGAGGACATTGAGATTAGCTGGTTGGATATATGACTAACCTAGTAAACCTACTGCAATAATCTACTTTGTGGCTGTACGTTGATAATCAATGCCAGTGCAGTTCCACAGCCATTATGTAATATAGTAAACATGAGCACGTACTAACATGTTCTCTGAGTGTGCTTGAGTAAACAATTTATTACACTCATTTTATACATAATCAATTTATTTATAGTTCTTATTAGTACCTTATTTTTGAGTAGGGAAAATTATACAATGACTTCTCCCGCCCGAGTAAGGCAAGAGGGAGTGTCAGACTCTTGACTAAAAACCACCCAGTTCCTTCTCCTGCACTTCGAGCCGGTGCCCCGGCAATCCGTTAAGTTCTCCAAGTACATTGACATACTTATGTTGTTATTCCCCCAATCTGTACAACCGGTACAATTAAAAATAACCTCGACGCACAATATTAATTGCCATATAATACCGAAAGACATTGTAATCTAAAAGACAAATACATTGTTCATAGCAGAAGTAAATAACAAAAGTAATTACAGCCCTATCTACCCAATGGTCGTTATCATTAAGTCTAATACTTTGATTTTCTCCAGTTAGGCGTGTCTACTGTTACCTACTACAGGTAACGTACAAGTAATCGATCAATAAATGAAGGAGGACCTAAGAACGATAGGTAACACCTACAACGGTCCGTCACCATGGCTACCAGACGGAATCGAATCAATATGTTGCACTTATATTTATTAATAGCTGTTTTATAACTACACTTTTTAAGAGGTGTTAAAAAAGACATGACCGTATCTCTTCTACTAGATAGGTAGATGCGCTAACGCTGTGAGGCGTCAACATGTGTTTTTTAAATGAATGACACAGAAGGGTGACATTGGATTGGAACGTTTAAGAATGGTTTGTTAAGCCATTAATCACTGAAATTATAAACACATTGACAGCTCAATTACAATACATACTTATTTGTGTCTAAAAACTAGTCACTAAACCTGCTCAATGTCGCGGAGAACCTAACGGGTTACCGGGGCTCCGGGTCGACGTGCAGGAGAAGGAACGGGGTGGTTTTTAGTCAGTAAGAGTCTGACACTCCCTCCCGCCTCACCCAGGCGGGAGCAGTCATTCGATGATTTTCCCCCCTTAAAAAAAAATCCCCGAAGGGGTAGGCAGAGGTGCACATTATGCCACTGTCTAAATACAAATTAGTTATTTATCGAAGCAAATTAAAAATGTGTTCCACAGTCCCGAACTTACCGGTAAATCATTTTCAAGTCGTAATAAAACCATTTTACGAACCGTGTAAGGCGTGGTAAATGCCATCATGCTTGTCCAGTCAGAAGAAAAACTGCAATTTCGGCAAGCTTCAAAACCGGGTTAGGTACCCGAAACACGACTGTCTGGCCGAAGTAATTACGGGGTAAAGAACTTTCTACCTAATGTTATGTTCATCTGACATTACATTCCTCGCTTTAAGATATTGTATGTCTACTTTTCTTGCTGTTTTGTTTGCTCAAGCGACCAGATACAATGCAATACATTTTTAAAAAAATTGTATTCAACGGATTTAGTTACTTATTGTTATCACTCTAAACATGTTTAAAGTCTACACTAGGTTGGTCTACACTTTAGACCAACCCAAGATTTGTATGCAATTTACATTCCTCTAAACAATTCATAAAATAAACTTTTTTTTTATCGTCTCAGAATTAAACTTGACCTACTAATCTTGATACTTGCATTAAAAACAATCTATTTTTTCTCATTTGTCGATGTTACTTTATGTTGTTTTGCTATAGACCATGCAAATTGGCGTTATAAAAATAAATGGCGACTGGCATGGTCTATTTCTGTTGGTCTTAACAAGATAAACGGCTTGTTAGCATAACACGTGCTTTTACGGCGCACTTTTTTATTTACCGTGATTGATCAATCGAGTTCATTCGATAATCGTCGGATAGAAGCATTAAATCAATTGGTGTAGCCTTTTTTTTTAAGGGGGGAAAATCATCGAATGACTGCTCCCGCCTGGGTGAGGCGGGAGGGAGTGTCAGACTCTTACTGACTAAAAACCACCCCGTTCCTTCTCCTGCACGTCGAGCCGGAGCCCCGGTT